AAAAAAAAAAAAAGAAAAAAGAAAACCATCAGATTATGAGACGGGCAAGGAAGAAAAATGCAACAGGAGGGGATACAGGATGGGCATGGAGGGGTCACGGAGGTGATGTTGCCAAAGACCTAAATGAAAGGAAGCAAGGAGTCGGGCTCTGTGGTTCATGCCTGTAATCCCAGCACTTTGGGAGGTTGAGGCAAGTGGATCGCTTGAGGTCAGGAGTTCGAGAGCAGCCTGGCCAGTATGGTGAAACTTGATGTTTCTACTAAAAATACCAAAATTAGCCGGGAGTGGTGGCGGGTGCCTGTAGAACCAACTACTTGGGAGGCTGAGGCAGGAGAATTGTGTGAATCCATGAGGTGGAGGTTGCAGTGAGCTGAGATCACACCACTGCACTCCAGCCTGGATGATACAGCAAGACCGTGTCCCCCCGAGAAAGAAAGCGAGGGTCCAAGCCATGCAAAAAGCTACAGGAAAGGAGCTATCAGGCAGCGGGCTCAGCACAGGCAAAGGCCCTGGCGTGGGAATGTGCTCAGCGAGCTCCAGGAACAGCAGGAAGTGAGTGCGGGATGTTGCTGGGGAGAGGGGGAAGTGAAAGGGGCCACGTGGAGCCTTGTGGGATGGGTGGATTTCACTCCGAAGGCAAAACGGAGCAGGAAGAGTTGTCACTCTTGGGAAGAGTAGGAGATGGTGACAGCTCCAGGCAGAACTGTCCATGTGGGGTCCCTGTGCTGGTTGCTCAATTTCCCTTGGCTTCTCAGCCCTGTGTCCGCAGCTCTGGGGGCCACGGCCACCTGCCCTCACCCAGGCCCACAGCTGAGCTTACACTCAGCTCTCTTTGCTGTTTACCAACCTCCTTCCGGTCAGGCCCCGTCCCACTTCCTCACTCTCACATCTGAGTGGCCCGCCGGGACAAGATGTTGAAGGAAACTTCACTTTCTGTGGTTTTGGCTCCATTCTCACCCCGCACAGCCGCCTCTGCGTAGGTTTCAATTCCCACCTCCTGCTCAGCTGGGTGCCTCCTCTGGATCCCCCAGCAGAAGCCTGCGCATGGCTGGGCAGCCCCCATGCACCCACCAGCCTCCCACACTGTCATCCCTGGGGCCCCGAGAAAGCTGAAGCGTGGGCCATGAGCAGATGCACTCTGGGAAAATGTGCAGGAGCCCAGCACATGGCCACTAGACTCTCTGGTGCTTTCAAGGCTCTGAGCAGGTCTGCAGCGCGGCTGAATCCAGTGCGTGGCCCTGTCAGTGCAGTTGGAGCTCAGCAGAGGGTTGACTTATGTCCCCCAAAGGACATGTCTACATCCTGACCCAGGAAACTCAGCATGTGACCTTATTCGGAACGCTTATTCCAAATAAGCATTTATTTGGAACTTATTTGGAATACTCATTTGGTATCTTGAGCAATCCTAAATCCAATGAGAGGCGTCCTTTTAAGAAAAGAGGGCTGGGCACAATGGCTTATGCCTGTAATCCCAACACTTTGGCAGGCTGAGGCTGGAGGATCGCTTGATCTCAGGGATTCACGACCAACCTGGGCAACGTACCAAGACCCTGTCTCTACCAAAAATGTGTACAAGTAGCCAGGCGTGGTGGTGCGCATCTGTAGCGCCAGCTCCTTGGGAGGCTGAGGTGAGAGGATCGCTTTAGCCCAGGAGACGGAGGCTGCAGTGAGCTGTGATTGCACTACTGCACTCCAGCCTGGGTGACACACAGAGACCCTGTCTCAAAAAAATAAATAAATAGGAGGAGAGAACACGCAAGAGAAAGAAGTCCAAGTAAAGACAAGAGACTGGAGTGACACGGCCACAAGCTAAGGAATGCCAAGGAGGGGCCTGGGATGGGCTCTGCCTCAGAGCCTCCAGAGGGAACCAGCCCTGCCACCACCTTGACCTTGGATTTCTGATCTCTACAGCTAAGAGAGAGTAAGAGAGAGTACATTTGTGTGTGTGCTTTTTTTTTTTTTTTTTTTTTTTTTAAGACGGGGTTTCACTCTTGTTGCCCAGGCTGGAGCGCAATGGCGCAATCTTGGCTCACTGCAATCTCCGCCTCCCGGGTTCAAGCAATTCTCCTGTCTCAGCTACCCAAGTAGCTGGGATTACAGGCGCATGCCACCACACTCAGCTAATTTTTGTATTTTCAGTAGAGACGGGGTTTTGCCATATTGATCAGGCTGGTCTCAAACTCCTGATCTCGGGTGATCCGCCCGCCTCGGCCTCCCAAAGTGCTGGGTGGAGTGAGCCATCATGCCCAGCTTTTTTTTTTTTTTTTGAGATGGAGTCTCGCCCTGTCACCCAGGGTGGAGTGCAGTGGCACGATCTCAGCTCACTGCAACCTCTACCTCCCCGGTTCAAGCGATTGTTGTGCCTCAGCCTCCCAAGTAGCTGGGACTACAGGTGCACACCACCACACCTAGCTAATTTTTGTATTTTCAGTAGAGACGAGATTTCACCATGTTGGCCAGGCTAGTCTCAAACACCTGACCTCAAGTGATCTGTCCACCTCATTCTCCCAAAGTGCTGGGATGACAGGTGTGAGCCACCTCGCCCAGCCTGTTGTCTTAGGAAATTCATCCATGGCGGCTATGCCCCAGGGCAGCAGGCTCCACCCTCCTCCCCACGGATGAGGTCTGTGGATCAGAACCTGGGCCAGGGCACCCTCAGGCCTGCTGCCATCAAAGACCACGAGACAGTGCAGATTTCCAGCAACGTTCCTTTTAATATCCGGATGCCCAGAGCCACAGCCTGTGTGTTGAGCCCCGGGCAGGGCTGGTGGCTGGACGCTGTTGGCTTCCAGCAGCAGCACCACCACCAGCTTTTCGAAAGGAGAACCGAGAGCGTGGCGGCCAGCAGGGGCCCAGCCCCTGGGGCCGTGTGCCTGGTCCCAGCTGCAGCGTCCCTCTGGCCAGCTACAAAGTGGAATGCTTCTCGAAGGGTACGGTCAGGAGTCGGGCAGCCGCCTCGTCCAAGAACCAGCACAGTTTCCCGGTGTGGGGCTGGACCAGGGCGGCAGGCACTGGGTTTTCCTCCTGGTCCTCCAAAATGCGCTGCGGAAGAGGACAGAAGAGTAAAGCCCTGCCTGTGCCCCAGGCGCCGCCCCTCAGCACTCTCCTGGCTCCCTTGCCAAGGATAAATAAGACTCCTGTATCCTCAAAACGTGACGATGCCCAGCTCAGCTGTCCTAGTGCCAAACAGCAGGGACAGAGTCCCTTCCTTTCTATCCACTATAACTCTTTTATTTTATTTTATTTTATTTATTTTATTTATTTATTTTTTTTGAGACGGAGTCTCGCTCTGTCGCCCAGGCTGGAGTGCAGTGGCCGGATCTCAGCTCACTGCAAGCTCCGCCTCCTGGGTTCAAGCCATTCTCCTGCCTCAGCCTCCCGAGTACCTGGGACTACAGACGCCTGCCACCTCGCCCGGCTAATTTTTTTTTGTATTTTTTTAGTAGAGATGGGGTTTCACCGTGTTAGCCAGGCTGGTCTCGACCTCCTGACCTCGTGATCCGCCCGTCTCAGCCTCCCAAAGTGCTGGGATTACAGGCTTGAGCCACCGCGCCCGGCCCCACTATAACTATTTTAATTAATTAATTTATTTTTTTGAGATGGAGTCTCGCTCTGTCGCCCAGGCTGGAGTGCAGTGATGCGATCTTGACTCACTGCAACCTCCGCCTCCCAGGTTCAAGTGATTCTTCTGCCTCAGCCTCCCGAGTAGCTGGGATTACAGGCAAGTGCCACCACGCCCGGCTAACTTGTTTTCTTTTTTGAGACAAAGTCTCAATCTTGTTCCCCAGGCTGGAGTGCAATGACACGATCTCGGCTCACTGCAACCTCCGCCTCCTGGGTTCAAGCGATTCTCCTGCCTCGGCCCCCCAAGTTGCTGGGATTATAGGCGCCTGCCACCACACCCGGCTAATTTTTGTATTTTTAATAGAGATGGTTTCACCATGTTGGTCAGGCTGGTCTAGAACTCCTGACCTCAGGTGATCCACCCGCCTAGGCTTCCCAAAGTGCTGGGATAACAGGTGTGAGCCACCATGCCCGGCTGTGCCTTTTTATTTATAACACCACGTGACTTTCTTTTCTCTTGATTAGCCTTGTCAGGAGCTTGTCTATCTTTTAGCTCTACTTACCATTAAAGTTTAAAATATATTAACTAACTCACTAATTTCTGATTTTAATTCCACTTAGTCCTGCCACTGACTTTTGTAGATTTATATTATTGTCCTTTTTCTAGTTTTTCTTTTTTCTTTTTTTGAGATGGAGTCTCACTCTGTCACCCAGGCTGGAGTGCAGTAGTGTGATCTCAGCTCACTGCAACCTCTGCCTCCCAGGTTCAAGTGATTCTCTTGCCTCAGCTTCCTGAGCAGCTGGGATTACAGGCGCCCACCACCATGCCCAGCTAATTTTTGTTTTTTTAGCAGAGATGGGGTTTCACCAGGTTGGCCAGGCTGGTCTGGAACTCCTGACCTCAGGTGATTCACCCGCCTTGGCCTCTCAAATGCTGGGCTTATAGGTATGAGCCACCGCACCCAGCCTATTATTGTCCTTTTTCTAATTCTACAGGAAAGCACTTAATTTATTTCGATGGTTTGCTACTTAATAATTTTTTTAAAATGCATTTGAATGCTATTAATTTACCTCTGAGTGCAGCTTTGGCCTCATCTCATCAAGTTCATTTCATAGCGGTTAATACCTAACTAGCCTTTAATGTAATTTCCTTTTTTATTTTTTCCTTTTTTTCTAATTGCAATTTCAAGTTCCCTTTCAACCCAAGAATGACTGAGTTTTCTTCAGATCTGATGCTTCAGCACAATAATGTCTGGGGCCATTATCTGTCCCTGGGGCCCACATGCTCATGAACTTCCCAGGACTAGAACCCTCTGCTGTTACCTTCAGAACAGTCGCCTTGCCTTCTCCGGTTGCCACAAAGATGACAGTTCGTGCTGCATTCAGGACAGGTAGCGTGAGGGTCACACGCTGTGGCGGTGGCTTCGGGGAGTCACTGATGGGAGCCACGATCTTCTCCCGCTCCTTGGGGAGGAAGCCCAGGGATGGAGGCAGAAGGATAATGTCACTTCAGCTTCTTGGACACTTACATACACCAGGCCTGTTCCAGCCACCATCCCATCCCATCCTAACAATCCCATGGTGGGTAGTTTAAGGTCCTTGTTTTAAGGGGCTGAACTGAGACCTGGAAGGGTTGAGCCCAGCAGAGGTACGCTGGTGGAGACTGACTTGAACCCTGGCTCTAGACACCCCACCCCGCAGGTGGCCCTCCCTCTGGAAGTCCTAGATGTTAGGGACTGGACTCAGGACTAGGGCAGAACCCCACATTGGAGTGCTCACCTGCAGGAGGGGGTGGTCTGGGAAGAGTGAGCAGGTGTGGCCATCAGGGCCCACCCCCAGGATTAGCAGGTCGAAAACTGGGATGGAGTCCCCTTGGAATGCCTGGGCGTGGGGAGAAGACAGTCTTGAGAGGTTGTAGGCGGCAGGGGCAGGGGAGACTCAGAGGACACAGAGACCATTGTCAGATAAAAAAATACAAGTAGCTGTGGCTGGGTGTGGTGGCTCATGCCTGAAATCTTGGCAATTTGGGAGGCCGAGGTGGGCGGATCACGAGGTCAGGAGTTCAAGACCAGCTTAGCCAACATAGTGAAACCCTGTCTCTACTAAAAATACAAAAATTAGCCGGGCATGGTGGCAGGC